GAAATGATGAAGGGCGCCCAGAATCAGCACTTGGCAGCCGAGCTTCGGAGCTGAAGGAGCAGATCAATGGAGCTGCCAGCTATGGAAGCCCTGGCAGGACGAATCAGATGGGCGTGCGCGGTGGTGGACTTCTTGGCTTTCTGACTTGCAGATGGACATAGCGGCGGAGCGCCGGTGCATTGGAATGCAGGTTTGCCGCAGCTGGGTGGAGCCGGCGCTGGCACTGCGGAGGACCTGCGGGACATCATGGAGGAAAAGGACAGGTGCCCTTGGTCATGGAGATCGGGGCGGTTATGGGTCAGGGTGCCAAGGAAAACCCGGACAAGCATTGCACCAGGGAGACGACCACGAAGGTGCGCAACGTCCGCAAGATATGGGAGGTCGCGGTCTTGGAGGGCAAGGACTTTCGGGAGTACCTGATGGGCATCATGCAGGAGGGCGAGATGGAACGCCAGAAGGAGGAGGACAGATGCCTGCGTGGATGGGATTGCTCATGATGAGCAACGAGAACGTGGAGCTTCCACGCCCTGCCGGAGGTAAAGGAGGGGGGGCTGGGATCGATGGTGGTGGGAGATTGGCTCGCTTTGATCACTCCGGTGATGCGGGACCTTTCTACACGGAGCGGCCAATGATAGAAAGAGGTGGTGCGAGCATCGTTTGAGGCCTATGCAATTTGGCTTGGCTTTACGTGCAGCCGCATGGACAAGGAGATGAAAATTGTCAATAATCCGAATCGAGCAGCGGGCGCAGTTGATGCTGCTGGCTTCATTGCCGGTATCTTTGAAGGCGGAGGTTCTGGCGCCAATAGGGCAACATCGGCGGCAGAGGTGCTGTTCAGAATCTTCACGGAGACCTTGGAGAGCGGGCAATGTTGCTGGATCCGAGGTCGCCAACACAATTTCGAGCATGGAAGCTTTTCAGTGGCCTCAGGAGCTCAAGATCTCCACGCCAGATGCCACCTTGCTGGTCGGGGCGCTGGAGAAGTACGTTGCGGTGATTGTCAAAGCTTCGCCGCAGACATCCTTCAGGCTGAGTTCTGCGAGGGCAGGACTGAGGATGATGTGGCACTGGTGGTGGAGTCGGTGATGCAGTTCGCGGACGTGGTGAAGTGTTCATAGCGCAGATCACCACGGCCAAGGTCAAGGCGCTTGCCACTGGAGATGGAGGTAGCCCGGACAGGGCCAAGGGTGATTGGAAAGGAGGAGGAAAAGGCAAGGACGGAGGAGGCAAGCATGCTTCAGCGACTCCTCCGGTGTGCAGGTTCTTCCTCACGGACGGCGGGTGCAAGAAGGGTGTGAACTGCACCTACAAGCTCGAGTTCGACGGAGACAAGCAAGGGCGATGTCGGAACTGCGGCGGAACCTCGCATACTCGCAAGGATTGTCCGGTGAAGGCATGGAAGTCTCGCGATGGTGACGGCGGAGCCAAGAACTACAGCGGGAACGATGTGAAGGGCCAGATTGTCAAGAAGGTCGAGGTTGAGGCATCGGCGCCTACTACCGGCGGAGGAGAAGGGTCGCCCACGTCACGGGCGGGGAATGGTCCACAGCCAGATGGAGGCAGTGGGGAAGCGGTGCGGGGGCTCATTCAGGAAGCAGCTGGCTTGTTGAAGAGTTTGAGCTGCGCGTCAGGAAAGGTCAAGCAGATCCTGGAATGTCACGCCCGGGGGAAGCACCTCATGGAAGAGGAATGGCGCTTGGGAGAAGAGCAAGGCGCGGACTACGAGCTGGTCAGGAGGATGGTGGAGATGCTCTCGGATGAGGATGTCCGTGTTGGGGCATGGTTGAGGGCGATGCAGAAGGCTGAGGACTTGGAAGCAGAGGAGACCTGTGCGAGAAGGCAACAGAGGAGGAGGTCTTCTTGGATGTGAGAAAGTGGAGGGCTGGAAACCATCTATGGCCTTGCTGAACTCGGGCGTGATCCAGGCCATCAAACAGCAGGAGGCTGAGGCGCTCAAGAAGGAGGCGCGGGGTAAGGGCATTCCGTACGATCGGGTGCCTGCTAAGGCAGTATTCACGAGGAAGGCAGCTACGGGCGGAGGAAATGCATGAGTTGCTTACGGGAACTTCACGTCGGAAAGGAGGCATCGATGCGTCCCAGGTGAGGGCGATGGTGGCTGCGGGAGCTCAGCGTAGTTGCGAGGTTGGACAATCGCCGGGGTGGACGTGAAAACCGCCTTTCTGCAGGTGCCAGGTGGCAGATCCAAGGACATGGTGGTGGCAGATCCACCAACCATCTTCCAGGAGAACCAGATCACGGAGTGGAGAACTTTGGGCGGTGGAGGGGTCCGTTTACGGAGTCACTACCTCGCCTAGGAATTGGGCAACTCACCGGGACGAGGTCACGTGGGCCTGCTGGTTTGAGAACACGAGCAAGTGAATATTTTTGGAGGATCAAACGCATGCGACACGGCTACATGGCGGTCTACATCGATGACCTGCTGATCACTGGAGATCGCGGGGCGGTGGCGGCGACCTTGCCCAAAATCCGGGATGTCTAGGATACCAGTGACCCGGTGGCTGACGGAGACGGAGGACGTGCGGTTTTGCGGGTTCGAGTTTCCCATGATGACCATGGGACCAGGATGCATCAGGAGTCCTACACCGCGGATCTCCTGGACCGTCACCAGCTCCCCCAGCAATTTATTACAGGGGAGCTGTTGTGGCTCTCATCGCGGGGCAGCGGCGCTTTCAGAGGCGGTCAAGCTCGGTGATGTCCAGCTTCAACATGTTCCCGGGCAGAGTTTGGTCGCGGACGGCTTTACGAAGCAGTTGGGAGCATCGCCATTCGGGCGCTTCAAGGAGTCGTTGGGCTTCTATGGTGGGGCGGCGGAGGCGGGCGAAACCCCTGTAAAGGTTGTCAAGGTGAACAAGGTGGTGGTGCCTGCGGAGGGCTACACGTTGGTCAGGACGGGCGTGAAGGTGCAGTTGCCGAAGGGCACTTGCGGGAGGATTACGACGGTTGCCAGCTTGGCTTTGAGAGGGTTGGAAACTGGGGCCGCAGTCATCTGGTCAGGAACCAAGGGCGCAAAGACTACGTCATGAGGCAGTGGCTCAGATGGTGCTGGAGAAGGTGGACATGGCCAAGGAAGCGGCCGAATTCCCCGAGGAGGAGACCAGGCTGTCCCGCACAAACTACATCCCCCGACCTTGAGATCTTCCACCCATATCAGGCTTCCGAGATTGCGCCGGATGAAGAAAACGGCCTGGTGTGGGAACGGCGGGTTGGGAATTGGCATGAGGAGCACTGGGAGAGACTGGGGATGAGGCGAGTGGATCGAATGCGGTTGGTCCTGGACGTGCAAAACCCCTTAAAGAAGGTGGAAGTGGCGACTCTGGCTCAGGACCTTCGGGGCCTTCGGGAGGGGTGCCATCGGCTACAGAACCAAAGGAGGCAGCGGTGGCACCGACGAGGCTGCGGCCAAGCGGCCCAGAATGTACGGAGATGAGATGATCCCACAGCGTCTGGTTGGGGCAATGGAGCAGAATATGCTGGACCGCACGGAGCACGCCCTTTTCCAGGATGTGGAGGCAAGCATGGTGCTGATGACGGATATCTTGGCGAAAAAGCCTACCGGAGTGCGGGATGAGTGGATGGACGTGCCCCTTCCGGCTGGGTTGGAGTTTGGGGTGCAGATTCACCGGAAGGAGCGCATGAAGCTCTTCGACACGGAAAGGAGGGCTATGCGGAGACGAAGAGCTGGTTTTCGGAGGGGGCGGCGCGAGAAGTACGAGAAGGTCAAATGGGTTGGCTACACAATCTTCAAGAAGATGAAGTGAGGTGGGTTTGAGCCTATAGGTTCTTGTGCGATCTTGTGCGGGTGAACCTTGAAAAGAAGGGGGAGCCCTGAAAAACATTTTGGAGCTTTTTGGCTGAAGAGAAAAGAGAGCCTTGAGGATAGGCCTTTGTGGTTTCAATGGCACCGTATTGAGTTGCTGAAGGTCGGTCTGACGAGCCCAGGTTTGTGCGAGGACGCGGTGCGGGAGGTCCAAGCCATTGCATCCAGGTAATACGGGCGCGCCAAGTTCCGGAGTTTTCCAGGGCTTGACTGTCTTTAGCATGTGCTTGTTGAGTTGTTTGGCTTTTGGTTGTTCGAGATTTCAGAGGTTTTTGGACCTGCCCCCTTTATAGAGGGCAAAGAACAACGTGCTTTGCAAATACACCAAGAGTTGGAAAGAAGGAAGCCTGGCTATTTCGTCGCGTACCCCATTCAAAAGGTGTAGTTAGGGAGAAGGCAGGATACTGCGATTCCATACTTCCAGGCTTGGGGGCCCGATCTATTGGGCACACTTTGAGGGGTACGCGACAGTGCTTGAGGTGAGACATGCTGCCAAAATGTGTGCCGTCTCTTCAGCTTCTTGTGCAAGTTGGTTTGAAGGCTGAAAAGCACTGAGCAGGCCATGCCCTTTGGGAGGAGCAGCGCACATGGAACCTTCATTTATGAGCTCCCAGCCGCCAGGGGAGCCCTTGGCCTGGTGGCAGGGAGTTTCAGGCATCAGGCAAAAAGGGCACCCATGTTGAGTGTTTGGGACAAGCGGTTGGAATGATGCTAACAACTTTGGGCACGCGTGCCTTCTGTGAGCGCCTTTTCTTATTCAGCATGAATGGAAAGAGCATCTCTGCACTGGTGGGATGCTGTTTTGTTCCTGAGAAAGGGAGGGTTCAAAGAAATGACCCTGGCCGCATTTACAGTCGAAAAACCAAAAAATCGATTCGTCAGACCCTCGCAAGATGGAGGTGGCAGTCTGTCTCAAGCGCACGCGGCGACCAGCTGTTGGCTACCAGACACCGGTAGCCCTGTACATAACAGCTGCGCTACAATTAGCTCCGGCCTTCGCCTCAGTTGCCGATGGAAATTGTTGCCTTTTTACTTCCTGAAGGAATTTGGGCCTGCCCTAAAATGGAAGAAAGCTCACTGCCCCCAGATTCTGGACTTTTAACCTTTTGGGCACAAAGTTCTCATGTCTTGAACAATCCACGAAAGTGCGAGTCAGGAACCAAAGCAGTTGGATGGGGTCCCTGATTTTGAGAAACACCCATGCCTTGTCGTTTCTTCGGCAACTGGCAATCTATCATTTAGCCAACTGCGCGATTGCACTTGCACACGCGCGTATCCCGTTCCCAACGGCCCGAATTGCCAAACGCGCAGCCGTTCCAGGGAAGACGCTCTGCGTTGCACCCTGAATTCTTTGCTTTCCGCGCTTGAGAAGCTTGGTGCGTGACGAAACGCCGTTGCCCAGAGTCCACCCTTGTTGTCATTTGTTTTGGGGGGGGCAAATTCAACTAGCAAATCAGGCGTCCTTGCCATCTACTGGCAAGGAAGCGCTTATCCGAAAGAGGTCTCCCTCTCCACTTGCACTGCAAAGCGTTCTCGGGGGTCATGAGCTTGGGGCCATAAGCAAGTTCAACTTTGCAAGTCATTGCCATGAGTTCGGCTTTCACCCCAGGTGTTTGAGTTCGGACTTGCCCCATTTGCCAGACAGTTGGAATCCGCAAAATTGACATGTGATTTAAAAACGAAGTAGGCCAACACAATTGGACATGGCCCCCTTGAAAGCAAAGTATTTGTTCTGTGCACGGAGGTTCCTCTCACCTAGTTTTCAAGCGCCCCCGAGTTTCGAATTTGCTCCCAGCATGCGAGCTTAAGTGCGAGCATCAAGGGGGCGAAATTCGGGGCCCGTTGGTCACATGTGCTGACCAAACCGGCTTGCGACGGAGCGTTGTGCAAGGATAAGAAATTACTTGGCATGCGCGTGCAAAGTGTTCTGTTGGGCGATTTGGATCTTGGAACCCGGCGAGTTCAGTGTGGTTCCCGGTTCTTTTTTTATCAGAGAGGAGGTGCCTTTTTCTCTTGTCGCTCCGGTTTGTGGACCCATGAGGCACAGGGGTGGCAAATTAGTAGGTAGTGAGATGGACATGGACCTCTATCAGAAATGCTTGGTGGACTGCATTTCATTCCTCGCGCTTCCATAAACGACCGCCACACTCGAGTTCTGACAAGCTTGCTCTGCGCGGGTCTGAGCAGGTCCGAGCCAAGGTGTCTTGCCCTTGACGTTTACCGGTCCCAAAACTAAGCCAGCTTGGCAATTCGCCTGGGGTCGGAAGATGACCATTCAGCATGGCGGCGTGTCATGGACTTGCCAGGAATCATGGAAATGCCTTTGTTCCAAATCCAACGGGAACAACCACTGCTTCGCTACCCTAAGGTCCAATTTGGGCCTTGATCTTAGCTAGCGCTCATCTGTCAGGTGAACTGCATCCCTAAACACCGGGACACCCGGTTCAGTTCAGCTCCCTTCCCAAGTGCCATCCCAAGCGGAACTTTAGGTTGCTTTTTGTTTTGCATGTGCTGCGTTGTGTGTTAAGAAGAACCCTTGTTTGTTGCATAAAAACCCGTTGCTGGCACCCTGCGTTGCTGACAAATCGTGTGGATCAAGGCAGCGCCGGGAGTGGCATGAGTTTTTGTTTTGTGCTAGTGAGGCGGCAACGTCGAGTAAGAGGGCCAACAGACAGATGGCTGTGTCCGTGTTGAGACAACAAATTGAGGACGATCGGTGGTGGTTGCCGCATCGTTCTAACGAAACCTGGCCAGGCCAGTTGTTTCGCCTTCCTGACTTCTTTCAGTTTACGGGGTTTACCTTTTCACGGTTTACATTTGTTTGGCCTACTGGGCCAGTGTCAGATTTACCCGGGGGTGTGCCGCCCGTGTGGACACGTTCGGCCGATGCGCGGCCAAATTATTTGGGCTATTTGTGTGTTTCGGGTTTGGCAAGTTGCAACATGGCCTCGAAATGTGCTCACCGCCAAATCGTCGCTACAGGTGTTTTCGGGCAGGTTAGGGAATGGAGAGCATTTGGGTTCACATGCGCGTCCTTCAAAGGAAGCCACAAGAGGACGGCTGTGCCTTTTATTTTTTTGCAGGCCCTTTATTTAGCATGAAGATTTGGTTACTGCTTCTTATATTGAACGCGTTTGAAAGCTTCGCTTTTGAGCCTTAGGATGGGCTTGTTTGGAGGGCACTCCGTGGATGAGCGAGGGCTTGGGATATGTTTTTGGTAGGCGTTTCCCGGTTAAAGATAGGAGGATACAGGAGCTCTCGTTCCAAAGAGCCATTCAAAGCTATCCGATAGGAAGGGGGTCCTTCACCTGGCCAACTGGCGTGCACTGGGGCAAGGCGCATGGAGTCAGAGCAGTCCAGGGAACTTGCCGGAAGCCAGGTCCCTTGCGGGGCGCCGTTTGCAATTCATTTGAGCCGAAAAAGCCAACGCTTCCTTTGAAAAGCTTGAAAAAACACAGGTGCGGCAGCTGGTTTCTTTCTGAAGCTCCCCTTGCAAGAAACCCACTTGGAAGCTGCATAAATGTGCCCTTAAAATGCCCCATAAAGGAGGCCCAATCCCAAAGGGACAAGTTTGTTTCATGTTGCTTGTTTTTGTTTTCCCTCTGATGGGCTCCATTTGCCGCCGAATGAATTTGTGAGGGGTGTGATGCAAGATTGGCTCTGCAAGTCTCATGGGAGATAGACATCTGCAACGAATTCTTTGATTCCCAGAGACTAGAATTGCTTCTCCATTGCGCGTTGCAATGAGGGCTGCTGGAAGTTCACCATCGATCTCTTCGACGGTTTGTCCCTTCCAGCTCGTCACGCCGTTGCTTCAAGCTGCCCTTACGGGTTTCCCGGTTTTGACACTGCATTGGTTCACAAATGCAGGAGTAATAGGGTGGGGAAGAGCTTGGGAAAGAAGGCGGCGTGAGATGATAAGTGGTTAAGACTTATGGGTGATAAAGGGTGAGGGATGCGGCCATAGTTGTTCATCGCTTGGTTTACTGCCCAAGTTTCTTTACTTTTTTAGGTTCGCGGTGCCCACAGCGCGGACGTTGTCACAAGTATGCGTTAGGTGTTGCCCTTAGTAAGCTGAGAGGGTGTCTTTTTGCAATGCGTTACCTAGAGCACAGATGCCCTTCCGCATGGCATCCGGCGGCTTGGAATGTTTCAGTATTATTCACTTACCGGCGGACCACTATGAATTCGAACAGGGGACCACCTCAAGAGTGGTTGGCAATTCAAGAGGATGTCAAACAAATTCCCTGCTATAGACTCATGCCCAGGTGTCAGGTTTTAATCTTACACTGCCGGAGCCATTTTTGCGCACGCAAGAGCTGGTGGGCTCGCATGCGCTCATGACTTACCCAATGCACAGCCCCGCCATTATCTTGGATGCCTACCACAGTGGCCGGGACTTCTCCGCGGAGGCGCCTTGGCAGAAAATGCGAGGAGGGGTTACAGGCAGGCTCCATGCAAGGGTTACATTTGGGCTAGTCTTGGAATGATGATTGATCTAAGAGATTGTTTTTGGCATGCATCCTGTCAAGGAACGGTGTTGCAGATTGCCGCACTTTGTGCGTTGAGAGGCGAATGAGTACTTGTTGTATGAGTGTCGCCTTTCAGGTTAGTGGTATCAGTTTCAGCTATTAGTTTCCCTTTGTCATACGGGTGGGTCTCTGTATAGCCCAAATATGGCGTCAGCCTCATGAAGGCTTTTAGGCTTACGAAGGCCCTTGGGCTCGCCCTTTTAGGCCGGACCCCTGTCTGGTTTCATCGTGAAGTCGAGATTCCCGCACCTTCACCGGACCTCTCTTGGCGTATTCCGTTCCCAGGAAGCGAATGAGCTGCGCGAGGAGTACCTCTCAATCCTGGATGGCAACTGCAGTGACCGAAAGAAGGAGGGGCCAAATGGAGTTCGGTCAAAATGTCCCGATTTGTCCGCACGCCTATTTGGAAGGAGCATGGACTAGTTTTAGACAAACCAGGGGACGAGCTCGAACCATGCCCAGGGTAAAAGAACGTAGTGCAAATGGAGCCCCTCCAAGCAAGATTGAAAGAGGACTTATGCCAAATAAGTTTTCTGTTATGATTAATGGTATTGAATTTGATAAGGCTGGTAAAAAATCAGTACAAGACTATTTAGAAGAAGAGGTTTTTGGGATTCCATACCATGTATTTAAAAATATTATTATTCTATCAATTAATGATTTTAAATCTTTTTTAACTATGAACAATAGTGACAAAAGACAAATTATTGATAGGATGTTTGGTTTCTCTATTCTTAATGATATGCAAAAGCAGATTAAGGAAGAACGTAAGCAAGTCAAAATGGATATTGATACTTATGAATCTGAACTTAACCAGCTTTTAGAATCTATTAAATCAGTTCGTGGTAAATTAAATACACTCTTAGAAGAATCTGATACTGCTAATAAATCTAAGATCGAAGAATTAAAAGAGGGTTTATTATCACTAAAGGGTAATGTTGAAAAGTTAGATGTGGAAAGAAAGAATCATGAAGGTGAGATGAATAAATTTAACTCACAATATAATGATAAACATTCTGATGCTAAAGATATTAAAAGAGAAATAGACTACTTAAAGAAAAAGTTAGCTCTATATGAAAGTGGCTCCGAAAGCGTCCCAAAAGGAAAACAACTGGCAAGCCCCTTTGTGCGGGAGGAAAGTCGGCCAACAGGTCGTAAGGGATCAGGCGTTTTCACCAGAAGCGACCACAGTCAATTCTTATCGACCACGTTAATAGGAGTTCACTGTCTGGCTGCATGGGGTTACAGCAAGGTTAAAAACATGTGATTAGCCATGGTTAATATCATCATCAGGGACGTCGCGTTAGTGACCGACCTGTGGTGTTTTGGCTCAAGATTTTGGGTTCCGTCGCGCCTCGAATGGGCGTCGCCGAACCCCTGCGTCGACCGACGGCATCTCGGGGGAGAAAGAGACCTCGGGCCGCCGCCAGGTTGGTAGGGACCAGTCGTGCGGCCTGTTGTCGACCAAGGTTGCGGGTTAACCCTTTTCTTGTTTGGTTTGTTTTCCTTTGGTTGTTGTTCTCTGGTGTGTGGGAAACCCTGATCTTTGGGACCGGGGATTGGTTTGCTTTTGGGGAACCTTTCTTTTGTGGCTTGTTTACCCCAACTTACCCATTGCCTGGGCACAGGCTCGTGCCCGAATCACAGGTTATCAGCCGTAGGACTTTCCTACGCGCTTGAGACCATCAACTACAAGCTCTATGTCGACCCCACGATCTCGAAGGAGTGTCGTGGATGAGGAGGCCATCCTAGGGGGCCTCCGCTCAGGTGAGGACCTACCGGACTATGACTACGAGGATTTCGAAGCAGGTTCGACAGGTCAGGATCGCAGGGGTGAAGATCCCGGTCCCACACCCAGGACACACACCAGGAAGCCGTGGCAGGTACACCGACGATGGAGACGATCGCATTTTCCGTCAGGCCACCGATGATGAGCAGACACGAAGGGTTCGCTCCGATAGGAGCGGCTCTGAATCAGGTCACAGGCGCGGACAGTTCGACTTCATCAGCATGGCGATGAACATGGCCCGCCCTCATTCGGACGACCCGGAGGCTATGCCGACCCGACCCCCGAGATCTCTTGTTCCAGGTGAGTCTCAGGCATCGGATGAGTTTGAGGACAGGCCGCAAGGACCAGGGACTATGGTTTTGGCTCCGAGAGGTATCTCGGGTCGATCTACTGGTTCTCAAAATCCAGGTCAGTTTGATGAGCATGAGGAGAGGAAATTCACAGGCCTCGGATACGATGATCTGTTGAAATCAACCGCGGGTTGGGGCAGTAGCTCAAAGCAGGGATCTGATGCCGGTAGGCCCAACCCTAATACTGTCAAGTCTGAGCTCGATGATGATGATGAACATGCCGCATTTGCGGATCGTCGTGATGAGGAAGAGAACCAATCACGCCGAAATGCTAGGATCCGTGATGCTGCGAGGCCCAGGAGCCTCTCTCGTGGAGCCGCCAGGGACCTTCGTGTTGACAGGGACGCCCGAGGCGAGAGAGAGAGAGCCAGGGAAAGTCGGGAAGTTCTTCGGGGATTGGAGGCCATTCATGACCGGGAGGGACCGATAGGTCCCCCAGTGATTGGTGACACCCCGAACGTTCCCCCTTTTCCCAACATTACATTTGGAGGTCCGCTGCATCAGAGAGACGAGGACTCGAACCGGGTTACTGGTTCGCCGAGGATCACTGAACGGGCTGCCGACGTCATTGGGACAGGTGCAAGAGATGGTCGGCTTGCCGATGCACTCGGAATCGAAGATCGTCCGTCGATCGCTAGCCCGTTAGGGCGAGATACCAGTGACCTTGAAACGCTGAGGTCTAGCAACGAGTTCACACCTCAATGGGGCTCGACCGCCAGGGAACGTAGTGCTTCTGCGAAGAGGCCGTCACCCCTCGCCATTGAGACCGATAGGTCAAAGGCGAGGAGGGCTAGCCCCTCACCAATGGGCTCAACTCCGCAGGATGAGGAGATGCCTGACCCTGCTGATGTTCACATCCACTCCACCCCCGAGTCTCGTGCATCCAACATTGATCCCCGATCTGGCGATAGCCGGAGAAGGGGATCTACCCCGAGTAGGCCACACAGGATTGATGATTGTCCTGTAGGCGACCCCAGAAGACATGCCGGGGCTAGTGGGGCTCCTGAGAGGATCGAGATATCGACTCCTCCTGCCCTCAGATCCCAGTCTTCCGGCGAGTCAGGTGACGCTAGGGCAAAGGAGGTGTTCGATTTGCACATCCAGGAGATGCTCGAGAGGGGTGAGGTTCCTGGCTCAGTCGCGAAGGCGTTCCATATTTTTGCTGACCAAATCAGGTTACTGAACGGTCAGGTGAGTTCCATGCGGAGGGAATGGAGCGACGAGAATCGACAGACGAAGGACAAGGTCGATCGCCTGACAGCTGAGATTGCGACTCAATCTGATGCCGGTAGGATGCGAATGATAGTTCAACGGTTTGCCAAGGAAGTTATTCCCGACAGTAAAGCTATTGTGAGGCAAGCCATCGATGAACAGGCTGAAGTTGTGGAACAGAGGATCAATTTGCTTTCACACGAGGTTCATGAATCTGTTAAGGACAATGAGGCCGCAACTGATCGGCTTCGCCAGATGATTCAAGAGAATCGTGAGGCCGTCCACAGGAGCCATGCTGCTTCCGAGGATGAGATCCTTAAGGACTTGGACAAGCTCGAGGGACGGATGTTCTCGGTAGAGAAAACCGTCGGGATGCGGACGCCAGCAGGTGAATGGAATTTGAATCCTGTCGCGCAACCGCCCGATAGGGCTAGCAGCAGCGTCGTGAACGCGAATTTCAGAGAGTTAAACCTGAAGCTCGAGAAGGCTCTCCTTGAACACGAGAAGTTTGCTAAGTGGGCCTCCGAATCTATTGGTGGCATTAATGAAGAGCAAACCATTCTTGCTAATCGGATGTCGAGGCTGCAAAGTGGAAGGGGGTCACAGGCGATCGATAGATCATCAGGGCCTGTATCCCCGCAGGACTGGCATGAAGCAATTGACGAAGTCAATCGAAAGGTCCAGGATCTATCTCGCGGAGTTCAACGCCACCATGGGGATCATGACGATGTCCTTGCGAGGTTTGAAACCTTGAAGTCCCGTGTTGAGCAGTACGAAGCGAGTTCGGGGATTCTGAATCAAGTTCTTGATGACATCAGAAGGCAGATTCGCAATCTCCCTGCGAATAGTGATCAAGCACGGTCTGCCGTTAGGCGTGAAATCGACTCATTCCGGAGTACGCTTGAAGGCGCTATGCGGAGAATCAGCACTGTCGAGAGTAACGTGCGTACTCTTAATGGAATGAACAACAGAATCATGGCTCAGCTCTATGAAATCGAAGGTCATGTCGATGAGGCTGCTGGCATTATTCAGGGTGTCCAGGATAATCAGGTAAATCCTCCACAGCCCAGAGAGAGACGGAACGTTGGATACGACGCTTTCGCGGGGCAGGGACACAGAATCAGGTCTCCGACGCCCACTCCCGGAGAAGGTAACGGTCGGGGTACTGGCCTTCCGGTGAGACCGGGCGGAGGTGTTGATTTGGTCGATCACGCTTTGCCAGATGTGCCCGGTAGGGTCGATCCTTCCCAAGCAGGCAGGCATCCCATTAATCCCGATAGGGAGAGGGCTGACAGCAGAAGCAGGAGGGCTCGGGGACTGCCTGACAGGTCGCATTCACCGCCAGGGCGTGCGAGGGATGGCCCCCGCGCACGCGCAAGGGGGGACATTTCTGTTTCTCCCAACAGGGATGTGGGTAGGAATAGGAGCCCGAGGCCTGCTGCAGGTCCGGAGTCGGCAATCGAGGGGGGAAAGGCCAGTCCGCGATAGCGGGAGCATCTCTCCGAACCTGGATGGGCCGATCCGCGATAGCGGGAGCGTCTCTCCGAACCCTGACCGTCATCCAGGAGGTGGTAGGGGTAATAGGGCCCATGCCGACATCCAGAGTCCCGGCGATAGCTGGAGGACTCGTGGGAGTAGAGCTCGTGCCGACATCCAGAGTCCCGGCGATAGCTGGAGGACTCCTGGAACTCCATCTGATCGTGGACAGGCCTCGGCACCGGCTGCAAGACGAGCTCCCGGTACCGGTGGCCCAGGTGCGCCGAAGATCTGTGCCCTCGATGAACCCAATGACCGTAGGCACCCGGACGCTGCATTCTCGTGTGTAACGTGCAAGCGTGATTTTTGCAGGCTTTGCCGGGGCGACGATGGGGACTGTTGCAATTGTCACTTCTTGAAGATGAAATGCTGGGCATGTCACAAAAGTGCCCAGGAGGTCCCCATGTATTCCTGTACGGAGTGTGCGAACCACATCTGCGAGGATCACAGTCATTTTGGCAATG